TATCTGTGTGTTTGTGTTTACCAGTCCAACTTCTGTACTAGTTTAGGCTCAGAGAGGACAGAGATTAAGCCCTTTCCCACTATGGCCTTATACATAGGTTAGTACTTATACAGAGTAGTTGAGACTCAGTAAAACTGTGCTGAATCGAATTAGGCTAACTTGATAGAGTTCATGATAGTGACTGACAGTCTGAGGACATACAGGATAATAAAGCAATTGTCGATAATGTTTAAGCAAAATCTCCAGTGACCTGGGGAAGTGACTTCAGTCCCTAGACTTTTTGGGTAGTACAGAAGTAACACTTGCAGTTTTGAAAATTTAGTTATAGTGTTTTCTTTCACTGAATTAATTACTTCTCATTTAAAAAAATTATTTATAAATTAGGAAATCTGAATTGACCTCTTTGCTTTGTAGATGAAACCAACTACACATCTCAAAGTTTTAAAAATGTCACATAAATCTGGATGAGAAAAATTGATTTGTTTTGTTTAAGTAATGCATTTCATCCAACTTATACTATATATAAACAGTAAGTTGAGACGGGTTAAAGATCTAAAGATGAAAGGCAAAAATTTAAAATAATTATAAGAAGATAGGGGAGAATATTTTTATTACTTCAGGGTGGGAAAGAATTTCTTAAACATGAGTCCAAATTAAATGTTGACCATAAGTGAAAAACTGATAGTTCTGGCCACATCAAAATATAATGTCAAAAGCCATCACAGACAAATTGGAATAATAAAATATTACCTGAGAGAGGATATTTGCGACATATATAGTAGTTAATGGATAATATCCAGAATCTATGTAGCACTACAACAACGAATTTAAGAAAGACAAACTAGCTTTTAGGAAAAGAGAGAAAGCACACGATTGGGTGAGTCACAAAGAAGACAGCCAATAAACATACTAAGAGGTGCTCCCTTATTAATAACCATGGAAACCCCCAAAACGCAAGTTAAGGCAAAGAGATATCACCATTCAACTCACAAGACTGTCAAAATCTTAAAAGTCTAACAATATCCAGTATACATGAGAATGTAAGAACACAGGAATTCTCAACCACTGCATGTGGGACTGTAAATTAGTGCAGTTTGCCTGTAGAACGGGGGTCTGCAAATTAAAGTTCCAGATAGCAAATACGTTAGGCTTTGAGGGCCAAGTGGCAACACTGAGGATATTGCGTATGGACCTACACAACCATTTAAAATGCACAAACTGGGCTTCCCTGGTGGCGCAGCGGTTAAGAATCTGCCTGCCACTGCAGGGGACACGGGTTCGAGCCCTGGTCTGGGAAGATCCCACATGCCGCGGAGCAACTAAGCCCATGTGCCACAACTGCTGAGCCCGCGCTCTGCAGTTACTGAAGCCCCTGTGCCTAGAGCCCGTGCTCTGCAACGAGAAGCCACTGCAATGAAGACCCAATACAGCCAAAAATAAATAAAAATAAATTAAGAAAAATAAAATGCACAAACCATTCTTAGCTCACAAGCTGTAGAAGTAAAGCCTGTGGACCAGGTTTGGTGTGTGGGTTTGCAGACCTGTGCAATGGAGCCATTTGGGCAGCATCCAGGACCCTGGATTCTATTGATACTTTCTGGCATATACCCCAAAGAAACTCACACAACTGGACACAAAGTACGAACATATTAGTTGCAACAGTATAAGAGCAAAACATTGGAAAACAACCTAAATATCTACCAGGAAGGGAACTGAGAAGCAAACATGGCATATTCAGCCCATGGACTACTATATGACTCTATATACTGATGACTGAATTAGCTCTATGTGTATTAAGATGAAAAGATTTCAAAAACAATACTTGGTCAAAAACTCAACTGAGAACATATGTAGAGTTTGATACTATTTACTCTGAAAATTGCTACTCCTAATGATTTGTAAGGAGGGAAACACATGATGAAAGGTAAGTTGGCCTCAGCATGGAGTAGGGTCATAACAGCAAGAGAAGTGTGCACACCAGGCATCTCCCATCTCCCCCAAGGATGGCCATCAGTGCACTGGAGCAGTACTCTCAAGCTGAAAAATAATACTGATCTTAAAAGCTAAGGGTATAAAATGTCTGTAGATGATAACCTTAAATTAAAAACATTCTATATTTTTAATGGATACATATATGTGTGGGAAACTACTGTAATCCATTGATTTTTAAGGTGCACATTTATCTTCACACTTTAACAATCTGAAATTGGGATGCACCTTACAATCTATGTGTATAGTTTAACTGTTGTTTTTTTTGTTAATGTTACACAAAATATGAGTCTTTTCAGAGTTGATAGTATGCTAAATTTAGTAAAATATGATTTAAAAACTGGAAGACAGATTCGTATCCAATTCATCATAGTCATTGTCTGGGAGAAGGGGCGTGGGGAAAGATGAAAAGAGAGACGGACTTGGACATAAATGATACTTTAAACTGATCAATAATACTTTACTTCTATAAATTAAAAACATCTGAAATAACAATAACATTTTAGCATTTATTAATATATAGCTTGAAATGCTCATACTATCTTATTTAAACTTGAAGGAACTCAGTGTTGGTGAGAGTTACGACCATCCTCTTACACCATGGCTAAAACATCCTCAAAAATACAAGTTCACCTCATATGTACATGGCAACCTTGGAAACTAGGTGTGTTGGGCCTTATTATTCTCACTTTCAGATATAACACAACACAGAGATCAGAGAAGTTGTCTGATTCTCCCAAAGTCACATCTAGTGACCAGCAGAGAGAGATCCTGAATCCAGGTTTTTGGACTTCAAGTCTGTAGTCTTGTACTCCACCATATTTACCAGACTGCCCTCATTGACATGTAGACTTTTCAATTCTCAATTGCTTTACAGATTTGAAAAAATTATGATCAAAAGAACGATTTCAATTGTCAGTTTTAGAACTACTTTTTGAAAACCACAATGAAAAAAATTACTGTACAATGAGTGTTTCGGGCAGACACTTAAATCAGTAGAATGAAGGTGTGTAATTAGATATGGGTTTTCAAGCTGTGCTCTGTAGATTCCTAAAGGCTCAAGTGAATCTCAGCAGTCCTTGCAAGTGCTTCAGTGTTCCAAAATCAATGCCATGTTTTTGGCCCAATAAGGAAAATTTAGAATGCCCAAGAAGTCTATTACCAGATTTAATACTTTATTTCATTATATTAGTGATCCCTGTAGAAATCCACTTGAAAAAAAATTACTTTGCTAAATAATTTACTAGGCTAGATCATTTTTCTTCCTGCTTACATATTGTGTTAGTCTCTGACTTAAGAATCAAATCTTTAAGTGTGAAAAATCTGCAGTGAGGAGAGCAGAAGATTATATTGTTTTAACAGAACAACAATCAGACAGATTATTCCCATACGTAGATGATTTCAACCATCTATCCTGCATTTAACCCATGATCAATAGTCTCCAACTTAAACACATAGTAGGTGCTTAATAAACATTAGTTGAGTTCATGAATGAATGAATGAATAAATGAATGACACAGATTAGAGGTCCTGTCAGGGAGGATGCAAAGACCTTAGGGCCAAGTGCCTGCCAACACCAGTGCAGCCAGATTCGTCTTTAGAAGCCAGACCTCCATTCCCACTGCTCAGTGTTCTTTCCTTTTGTGAATATTTTAAAAGTCACCCCATGTAAAAAATGCCAAAACTATTTCTACGTGATTCTACTATTTGAGCCCAGGACCTTCCGCCACATAACAATGTATCCTCATACACCTTTTGATGGACGTGTTATCGTTTTGAAGGTCTCTGCCTATAGCAAATGCGACCTCTAGTTTAATGCATGTAGTTTCTCCAGCATTTATTTGATTCATAGACATTTAGATTTGGAAGGGACCTTAGAGGCTGTATGTAATTTGTTTTATCTTAGTGACTTGGGCAGAGGTTTGATTTGCTGCAGACATTTTCAGTGACAATGACAAGCTTCAGAATCTAGGGAAGCAGCAACAAATAGTTGCAAGACCCCAGGCTTTGAGACCAGGCAGACTTGGGAAAGTTCTGGCTCTAACATTTACACTCTTTGTGACACTGGGCAAATTAACTCCTCAGTTTCATCATCTGTAATGTGGGAATGTGACCTAACTTTGTTGTTCCAGATATTAGGAATAAAATTATAAAGAATTTTGCCACCCAATAAAGAGTAGCAGTTGTTTTTATTTCCTGTGTTCCTGATGAAGGGTAACATTCTGGGTCCTTACCTTGGAACTCTTAGCATAATATTAGAGATTAAATTTGGTTCTTAAATATGTACAAATTTATTATATGGAGATGTACATCTGTCATTAGAAAGACCTAAGGATTACATCCCTTAGTATGTCATAGGCCATATTTCATAACTTTTTCCTTTCTTTTTAATAGAAATACATCGAAGAGGAAAGTCTGTGTGACAGAGGAAAATTTTTCCTGGATTTTGGTATTCAGTTTTTATCACGCTTTTTACAATATTTGCAGCCATGTGTTTTATTTTTCCCCATGTGTTTCTTTTAGTCATACAAAGTGTAGTAACACTGAGCTAGTTTCTAATTAACTGACTGCACCCTGAGGTCTCCAGCTTCTGTTTTCAGTTTCATTACATCTGTGAAGAGGATGCAGTGAAAGTGAAGAGAGTGTCTCTCTATGATAAAAAAAAATAATAATGTAGTTCTGGTTTGATCCTTAAATCACTGAGGGTGTGAATGCTTAGAGATGGATAAGTCAGTACATGGATGTGGGATTTCCATTTTGTTTTATCTTGTTTTCCCTCATGTAAACCACTTGACCTTGATGGAGACAACTTCTTACTTAGATCTGAAATCTAGTTCCTCAAGTAGTTCTTTGGCTCATATACATTTAGAATGGAAGGGACCTCATCCAATGGGACTACTCTACCTTGGTTCTTTGGTTCTGATTCTGAAATTGACAATAGGCCAAAAATCTGTTGATGTTCATCCCATTATGAATTGTAAGACATAATTGAAAAGAAATGCTAAACTCACCAGAGTGGCGAAGAGGTGATACAGAATGAAATAGATGGCGACCACTGGTGCCCACATGTGTCCCACAGCATTTAGCGTTTGGTCCATGACGTCAACCCATCCTTCCTGGGTAAGGATCTGGAACATGGACATAAATGCCTACAGAGGAAAAGAATGGAAGTATTAAACACTAGCCTTGGGCTTCCATGCAACTTAGAATTAGTATATGGTGTTGAGGACTTTGATTTCAATATTATTGATTCAGCAGGGAAAAAACAGCCTTCATTTGACAGATAGGAAAGGGCTAAGAACAAAGATTCTAAAAGCCTGATATCTAGCTATTCAATGTGGAAAGCTAAAATAATTACTCTGAATTAAAATTAGCTTTATTGGTGGTAAATACTGCTGATCAAATCAGAACAAAATTCAGGAACCTTTGCTTATTGCCTTTCTTGTTTTTCCCTTTTAGCAAGCTAACTATTTAACATTTCCAACGGATTGCTGTATTTTTTTTTTTTTGCTGTTAAGCACAACTTATTTTTATAGTGAATTACAGTTGTCTAAAGGCAAATGAGAATAATAACATTAATTTTACTTTTATAGTATCCATCTATCAAATTATTTCAGTTATATTAAAAACATGAGACTCTTTAAAAAAGAAATTTTTCTAAATGATATGGCCATGCTAAGCAACTTAATAAAGATGATCACATTTTTCATGATTTTTAAAAAAAATTTTCAAGACAGAGTCAAGACCATGGAAGAAACCCCAAGATCAAAAATAAAATAAAATAAATAAAATAATTAAAACTAGAGCATTCCAACAAAAGCCAGCCTAGCTAAAAGACTCATTCTCTCTCTGCAAAGATCTTTGGTTAGTTTCATTCCTACATGTTTTTCTCATTAAATATATATCTCCATCATTGACTCATGTATCTTGTACATGTCAGTGGTCAATAAATGTTTCTTAATGAGAACCTATGGTGATGTTGGGGAAAGTTGACAATTGGAATCTATTGACTCTAAAAAAATCTTTACAGACTTTAGTAAAATGGAAGACATAAATTGAATTCTTAGGTATTGGGATTCCAAGAAATAAGGTCCAGGCTAATACAAAGATGGACTAGGCCAAGATAAAAGCTCTGTTACACTGATAGTATCTTAGAGGCAAAATGGATCCTAAAGATAACCTACCCTGACTCATTCTTTTTGAAGATAAGGAAAATGAGGCTTAAAGATGGATGATTATCCCAAAGTCACTCTATTAATTTGTGGCACTAACAGAAGTAGCACCAGGCATTATGATTCCAAAGCAAGTACTTTTCCAAGTATTGCTTCCTGTGTTCAGTGAAGTCTGGAATCTACTACTTCCCAGGCCTCATTGCGCAGTAAGCTCTCTTAGCAGTTTTCTTTACTAGGGATAAGTAAATTAACTTTTTTTTACAAGTGCGATGTTCAATGCTCAGCACGTAATAGGCCTGTTTGAACAAAGGAACAATGCATTGATAAATGAATCTTGAGCTAGGAGATAAGTTTTTTCTCTTACCCTTTGTCCATGTGTGAAACACTTAACCTCTCCTTGAGTTAATTTTTCTATAATATCATCATCCTACAAAGTGTTTCATTAATGAAAGTATGAAGTATGTTGTTACTGATACTTGAACACGGCATCAACAAGGACAGTATAATACTTTCCTCGACAGGGTGCCAAAGAGAACACTAGCTTTAACTCATCCTAAAAATGCTTCAGAGAATTTTTCAACACATCGTTTAACCTCATAAGTATGCCAGAACCTACCATTGAGGGCAATTATTTTTTCCCTGTGTTTTTTTTCTAGTTAATATTTATTATATCTGAATGCAAGCAACACAAGTTCCAAAGATGATTCACATAAAAATATCAGATCTTCTTCAACAGAGCTGTCACCGGCGTGAAAGTGTGTGGACATCCAAGAGACTCTACAGTAAAAGGGGGAAGAGTCAGAACACCTACCAGGATGTTTTGAAAAACATCCTGTTTTGAAAAAAAAAAGGAATTTTTCTGGACATGGATTTCTTTCCCCAAAAGTGACAGGAAAGCTTGTGATTAAGTCCAACAGATTTATTCTTGGTACCTAGAGGCCAAAAATTCAGGGGTACCTTTCCGCTGCCTTGGGCAGAAACCAACTTAATGTGTTTTCATCTACGGCATTAGCTTTCACGAATACTCAGCTATTATGCATCCAGTAAATGCTCGGGAACAGGAAGCTAGGGGTTTATAACCTGTTGCTGTGAGATAAGCAATGTGACCAAGAACATCGGGTTATCCTCTACTCTTTCCAGAGTTTCAAAAGAAACAACGTTTCACTTCTGCCCAGCTCAGCCCCCTGAAAGTGCATACATACTATGAGATGCTGTGAATTATATCTGAGAGCAAAGCTTTCTGTTACAACGTGATTGGTGTTTATAGTCACTTACATGAATAAACCAGTGAAAGGTAGGGCCATGAAATACTTCTTCTATTACAGGCTGAAAAATAAGTTGCGTCCTGCACGAGGGGTACTTTATCAGTTTTGTTGAGATTTTATCTGGAAATTTAAATCCCAGTGACAGTCTGTTTGAGATATGAATCAAATACACTTACTGACTTATACTGTCTTCAGGATCTGCATTCCTTGAAGAACCTGTTTACATTATTTATTTGGACATGGATTATCAGTGGTTCCTGAAGACCTGATGTGTTGGGGACTGAGATGAGGAAGACATGGCTTCTTAAGAAATTTATAATAGGAGTGGAAGAAAAAGATGAACATGGCCAACTCTAAGAAATGGAAGAATGAAAAATACGGCGCATTAAGAGAAATATGGCAAAGCTATAAGAAGCAAGTTGGAAGGACAGATATATTCCTCTTGGGTGAGTCAAGATAGTTTGTAGAAAATGATAGCAACTGACTTTCATGAGGAAGACGAGTAGAATTTAAATGGTGGAGAAGGGGGTCATGAACAAAGGCCTGGAGAAGTTGTTTCTTTTCTCCAAGCTCCCTGTTCATGTGTTATGCCATTTCCTATCCCGTTGACCTTTACTTTCCCCATATTGATTTCAACCAGCTCTTTATAAATTAAGAAAATTAATCTTATATCTGCCATATATTTTTCCCTATCTTTTAACAGTATTTTTTTACAAAAATAAATTTTAAATTTCTATGTGGTTTAATTTGCCATTCCTTTTATTTAAGGTGTTTATATTTTGCTTAAAAAGACTTCTCTCACTGCAAGATTAGATATAAATGTACCCATAAGTTTCCTTATTTTATATTATGCTTAACATTTGAACCAGAAATCACTGTTTAAATCAGTTTAAATATGGAATTTATTTTGGTATAAGAAATAAGACAGAAATCAATCTTATTTTTCTTTTCAATAGGTGATCAGTTGATTAAGCACAATATAATTTTAAAAATCTGTCTTTTCTTCACTAATTTGAAAAATCCCTGGCATCATACATTGAATACTCATATACTTTCAATTCTATTTCTAAACTTTCTGTTCTTTTCCATCTATTTATTTCATCTCCAAACTTCCTAATCTTTGTACATTTTAATAAGTGGTAGAGTTACTAGCCCCTCCTCCTAAGCTTTTGTTTTCAGAATTCTTTTATTTTTATATGCTAATTGCCCCAAAATATCCTCTTGTTTTATTCACTGGAATCACACGAATCTAAGAAAAATTGATATTATCTTCCAGTCTCAAAGAAAGGCATATCTTTCCATTTATCCATTTATCAAGTCTTTACTCAAGATTCTGGACAAAGATTTCAGTTTATATAGTTTCTGTCCATTTCTTGTTAAGCTCATTCTTAATATTACTTTTCAAAAATTTACTCAAGGTGATACCATATGATTAAAAATGTTACATAGGGCTTCCCTGGTGGCGCAGTGGTTGAGAGTCCTCCTGCCGATGCAGGGGACACGGGTTTGTGCCCTGGTCCGGGAAGATCCCACATGCCACGGAGCGGCTGAGCCCGTGAGCCATGGCCGCTGAGCCTGCACGTCCGGAGCCTGTGCTCCGCAACGGGAGAGGCCACAGCAGTGAGAGGCCCGTGTACCGCAAAAAAAAAAAAAAAGTTACATAGTAAAGAAGCCTGATGATGGGTTTCTTAACGGATAATAAGCAATGGCCATATGCTTCAGTATCTCAGTCCCACTTTCCAGAAGCCACTGCCTTTAACCACTTTTGTTTTTACTTCTGGTGGTGCTACCCACATCCCCATTCAGTATTTCTTGATTTATCTACCTTAGACAGTGACTTCTGTTCAACAATATTTACATTTTGTTTTTTAGTCATGATTGGGTCTTCCATGCTTGTCAGTACATTGATAATCAATAGATTGATAGTTGATATGTTGACTATGAAAATATTGCTATGTAATACTGTTATCCTGGTAATGTTCTAGGATAATACTTCCTCCTTCAGGCCTCAGTATTATGATATGTTTGGTACTAGAAGGTAAATGTTCAAGGTTAAGTGGAGGCCGTTTTCTTACTTTCCCCTTATTTCTCAGAATCTGGCCCAGTTTAATTTACTTTATTTGAATCACAGTGTTCTTACAAAATTTTTAGTTTAGTTTTGTTTTGGTTGAGAGTTTCTGATTGTTTTTTTCCCTGTTTCCTTGGGAAAAGAAATATATGCTTTCCTCCTCTACCTTAAATAGCTTCCAGATTATCACACATTTTACTTATTGTTTAGAATAAATTCCACTTTTCCTCTCCTACACATGTTCTTCTTGGAGCATTCAATTACCCAGAAACCATCTGATTCTTACTCTCAGACATTTTCCTTGGAGTCCTCTTACTGCTGTTTCAATTTGGACTAATCACCTTCTAGACCTGCTCCACAATTGTCAAAGTCTTTTTTTTTTTAATTTTATTGAAGTATGGTTGATTTACAATGTTGCGTTTAATTTCTGCTGCATGTGAATATAGTTTCCTGTGCTATACAGTAGGACCTTGTTGTTTATCCATTCTATATGTAATAGTTTACATCTGCTAATCCTGAACTCCCAATCCATTCCTCCCTTACCCTTCTCCCTCTTGGCAACCACAAGTTTGTTCTCTATATTTGTGAGTCTGTTTTTGTTTCATAGATTATATTCATTTGTGTTGTATTTTAATTAATTAATT